ATTGAGCCTCGCTAAACCGAAGAAATCTCAATTTCCATAAAACTGTTAACAACATAGACAGTGTGGGGTCTCGCTCTATACATGACCTACTTGTCTACAAGTCATGGTTGTGAAATATCGATCTCAATTGATCCATAACTGTCTGCTGTCTCGCGATCGGCGACTTAACGTATTAGTCTACAAAGCATGCTATTTAAATTTTATATTGAACGTTTAATGATTATGTTTAAACACAGGGACTCGAGTTTAGCCTTTAAATTACATTTATATATGAAAAAAACCATAAACTAATCAAAAACGGTCCGGTCCGGAAAAAGGTCGGCACTATCGTGATATAGTGTTAAGAGCCCGATCAGGTTCCGGACTTGTCCTTTCTTTAATCAGATTTATTTAATTATTAGTTTATTCATTATTCTGAAAACTGAAATTCCTGCGTGTTGAATATTAGGTCATTTAAATTTATACTACCGTACATACTGAAACGTCCTTCAGATATGATTTTTAAAGTTTAAACTGTTTAGATTTGGGTGTATCCAATAAAATATTTTCCGAAAGCCTTTTTTTACAATTGGATTTTTTTGAGAAAAGGGAACAACATTTTTCTAATAGTTGTTAACGCCGTCCCCTAATAAATGCTTAGAGTTTCTGAGTGCGAGCACGAGCATCCTCGATTGAAAAATGATAAACACGAAACTGATTTATTCTAATTTATGTAAAAATAATACATAAAATGCACCAAACAACTTAATATTAATCTGTCATATTTTTATTAAACATCAACATGTTGCAGATTTCGCCCTTTTATTACCGAGATGAAAAGGCCCCGCCGGGTTCACTGGGTACATCATGTGTGTTGTTCAGAGAAATACCGAAGTACCTACTTACCTCTGTGACGTCACACCTCGTGGGAGCTTGTACGATGGTTAATAGGTATACACTGTTATTTGTATATCTTCAAAGACGAACGTAATACACCGACGCGACTTCACCTTTAAAATTAGGTAATAGATACAAAACACGAATGGCACTGCGTCATACAACTGTTCCGTTCTTCAGGGACTCATTGGTGATGCTAGGGACCAAAAGGTTGGAAATCCAGACCGTCCAAACTCTTGTTGAAACAGACCTAGAGGACATTTAAGAAGGATTTTTAAGGTTGATTTTTTTCTATTTGTCATACCTTCCGATGACTATGCTCTTGATATGTAAACTTTGTTCTGTGCGTTATCACTAATAATGTAGAAATTCTTAAATTTTAGTATTGCAACAAATTCCGGGAGCTTTGAAAGTCAGGGACAGTATGCAGAACTTCACCATACGTTCCTGTGAAAGTGCAGCATTTATTTAGTTTTGAAAGTGCAGAAATTCGTGGAGCTTTGATGGTGCATTAATTGAGTTTCGAAAGTGCAGCAATTCCTTATATTCAAAAGTAAAGCAATTCTTTAGATTTGTTAGTGCATACATTATTGGGTTTGGATAGTTCTGCGATTCTTGGGTTTTCATAGTGCTACGAGTTTTGATAGTGCGTCAATTCATGAGTTTTGATTGCGTCAATTCATTAGTTTTGATAGTGCGTCAATTCATGAGTTTGATAGTGCGTTAATTCATGAATTTTGAAAGTGCGTCAATTCATGAGTTTTCATAGTGCGTCAATTCATGAGTTTTGATAGCGCGTCAATTCATGAGTTTTGATAGTGCAGCCATGTTTGACTTAGAATGACAGGAATATTTATACACCTTGAAAAGGTCAGATTCGGTATAAGATGCTCCATTTTCAAACGGGATGTGGGGGAAATTATAAAATAACATGTATAAATGTTTTAAAGTTTATGTGGTATATGGGTTTTTTAAATGTGAAGGTTGGGTTCATACATAGCTGTATACATAGGAATCCGTGAAATATTTAAAAATATATATATATTAGATGACCTGTACCCGTTCTCATGTGACATTGTCTCGGCTACGTTCGTCCGGATTAGGGATCAGATGTCAAAAAGTACTATTACATCACGTGTGCTAGTTAGTGAACAGCCTCACCTCGTGGAGAGTGAGTAGCTTCTCTAACAGTAATTGTTAGCTGTTGATAAATGGGGGCTTGATTCGTTGTCCCGTACCACTACATTTTTATATCAATATCGGACTTAAGCAAGGCTAATGCATTTTTTGTCGTTTTGTTTCAGGATCCCCGTTCCACAGCCAAAAAATGAAACAATGCATTCCAAACGGTTTTTCCGGTATGACAGTAGCCTTGATAACTCATTTCGGAAAAGAAAAGGCTGCCTTGCAGGACTTTAACAAAATATGATTAACAAACATGTAATAAGTGTAAAATATTTTTCGGGTCAGACCGGGATTCCAACCCTAAGCTTCAGATTGTTACACCATCGCTGAAACCGAGTGAGCTACGTGGAAAACGGAATCGAACAAGCCAAATGTTAAGGGGAGGGTACTGTTCAAAGAGAAAACGCCAGTGCAATGGGACAGGGACCTTTAGACCTAATTACAACATAGAGGTGTTAATGTAATGGGGGAAAAACAATAATAGGTTTCATGAGGATTGTTAGAGAGGTATGTGTTATAGAGGTATGTGTTAGAGAGGTATGTGTTATAGAGGTATGTGTTATAGAGGTATGTGTTAGGTATTTGTTAGAGAGGAATGTGTTACAGAGGTATGTGTTAGAGAGGTATGTGTTAGAGAGGTATTTGTTAGAGAGGTATGTGTTAATTATTTTTTAGAGAGGTATTTGTTAGAGAGGTATTTGTTATAGAGGTATGTGTTAGAGAGGTATGTGTTAGAGAGGTATTTGTTAGAGAGGTATGTGTTAGAGAGGTATGTGTTAGGTATTTGTTAGAGAGGTATTTGTTAGAGAGGTATGTGTTAGAGAGGTTTGTGTTAGAGAGGTATGTGTTAGGTATTATTTAGAGAGGTATGTGTTAGGTATTGGTTAGAGAGGTATGTGTTAGGTATTTGTTAGAGAGGTATGTGTTAGGTATGTGTTAGAGAGGTATATGTTAGGTATTTGTTAGAGAGGTATGTGTTAGAGAGGTATGTGTTAGGTATGTGTTAGAGAGGTATGTGTTAGGTTTTTCTTAGAGAGGTATGTGTTAGAGAGGTATTTGTTAGAGAGGTATGTGTTAGGTATTTGTTAGAGAGGTATGTGTTAGGTATTTGTTAGAGAGGTATGTGTAAGGTATTTGTTAGAGAGGTATGTGTAATGGTATTTGTTAGAGAGGTATGTGCAAGAGAGGTATGTGTTAAGGTTTTGTTAGAGAGGTATGTGTTAGAGAGGTATGTGTTAGGTATGTGTTAGAGAGGTATGTGTTAGGTATTTGTTAGAGAGGTATGTGTTAGAGAGGTATGTGTTAGAGAGGTATGTGTTAGGTATGTGTTACAGAGGTATTTGTTAGAGAGGTATGCGTTAGGTATGTGTTAGAGAGGTATTTGTTAGGTATGTGTTAGAGAGGTATTTGTTAGAGAGGTATGTGTTAGAGAGGTATGTGTTAGAGAGGTATGTTTTAGAGAGGTATGTGTTAGAGAGGTATGTGTTAGAGAGGTATGTGTTAGAGAGGTATGTTTTAGAGAGGTATGTGTTAGAGAGGTATGTGTTAGAGAGGTATGTTTTAGAGAGGTATGTGTTAGAGAGGTATGTGTTAGGTATGTGTTAGAGAGGTATATGTTAGGTATTTGTTAGAGAGGTATGTGTTAGAGAGGTATGTGTTAGAGAGGTATGTTTTAGAGAGGTATGTGTTAGAGAGGTATGTGTTAGAGAGGTATGTGTTAGAGAGGTATTTGTTAGAGAGGTTTGTGTTAGAGAGGTATGTGTTAGAGCGGTATGTGTTAGGTATTTGTTAGAGAGGTATGTGTTAGAGAGGTATGTGTTAGGTATTTGTTAGAGAGGTATGTGTTAGAGAGGTATGTGTTAGGTATTTGTTAGAGAGGTATGTGTTAGGTATTTGTTAGAGAGGTATGTGTTCGCACTAGTGAAGCTTGTCTCTGTGAAATGACTACGGCGGTGTACCCGTTCCTGGGGCGTGGACTTCGTGGAAACATTACGTGTTTGCGTGCACGTCGGCGTCTCTTGTTTATGAACATGGGACTACATTATGTGTTTTAAAAATATTATTATACTTTTTATTATTTAATCAAAGACACTAACACAAATATAAAAAAAATGTAAAGACAGGCAGTAATCAATTAATATTTTACGCGAGATAAAAAAAACACTTCGTTTTATACTAAAAGGGCAAACATTAAATAGATCGAGTTAAGTAAATAAATAATGTAGTCATCTTAACAAACACAAACACTCTGTGTCTGAAAAAAAACGTTCCTAAAAAATATATTTGTTTCGTTAGTTTGATTATACATACACACAGAACTCCTCGAACGGCAGGGACGCAGGTGTGTGTGGATACAGGTGTGGGTGGATATATAGAGGTATAGAATAGCTGTCCCTCGATTGCATCTTAATCCGATTTGTACATCAGACGGTGTGTATGTGTTTTGTGCGGGTGTAAATGTATAAATTCACGTATGTCATTACTTATTTAGTATAGAAATTCTGAAGTTGCGATCTTGAAATCTTGTTAATTTTGTATGTAGAAGTAAACAATCTATCTCCACACATAAGTATTGCACAGGGAAAGCTTGGTGTAAATTAAATAAATTGTGCCCAGTTCTGTTATTCTATTAAAAAGGCAAAGATAAATGTTGAAATCAAAATCAAAAGGAAACTTCGTTGAATAATTCTCATTTGAAAATGTATTTTCCATATTTTCATCAAGTATCCTATCTTTAGACTCATTACAAGTATCCCTTTACACAAATACCAAGTCATGAGCTATACTGTTTCACTACACGAAGCAAACTTGACGTCTCGAACAGTTTAGATGAGGTATTTCCGTTTGAAGGAAAATGTACTTCCGGTTTGCTTTGATTCAAGGCCAATAACTTCCGGTTGCCCATTCCATATCCAGCTGATGGCTTTGTTAGTTTAAAGATGTCATCAAGGATAGTCACGTGTAGCGATGTCATTGGGACTAAAGGTCAATCATCCTTTGTGAGTACAGTAGGTAATGTAAGTGGGAGCTAAACAATGCCTCGTTATCTTTATATCGATATGTGATTTGTCTACTGGTTTACCAGTAGAATCACTTATAACGATTTATAAATGAATCTATGAATATGAAGACAAGAATTCCACGGAAGTGGATGTGTCGCCTGCGCAGGAAGCTGGGGGATTGTGCTTAGCACTGCATGAAGTTTGAGTTTGATCGGCCCAAGGAAACTCAAGTTATCGCACGAAAACATATTTTCTATTTATAGTAACAGTGACCTTGACCTTTGACCTTCGGACCCAAGCAGGCACCTTTGGTAAGGAAACACTGCATGAAGTTTGAGTTTGATCGGCCCAAGGAAACTCAAGTTATCGCACGAAAACCTTTGTGCGGACGACGCCGCCGACGCCGACATAGCAATACCTATGTGCCACCAGCTTTTCGCAGGCGACACAAAAAGGAAATGGGTCCGGACGGGAGATATTGACTGGAGCAATGGATGGGGGTTCCGAACGACTCCGTGTGCCCTGTACCGACAATGTTTTACGTATAGAAATCAATTGGCCAAAGCATGGTATTTGTTCACGTTCAGATCCAGTCTCGTTCAACCAGACGCTTGATCACATGTAATTCGGCGTGTAGCTTGCGCAGACAACAATAGTCTAGTTGAACGAGACTAGCCGGAGTACTTTGGTAGAAGGCCAAGGAAACTCAAGTTATTGCACGAAAACATATTTTCTATTTATAGAAACAGTGACCTTGAACTTTGACCTTCGGACCTGAAAAGCAATCCCAAGCAAGCACTTTTGGTAAGGAAGCACTGCATGAAGTTTGAGTTTGATCGGCCCAAGGAAACTCAAGTTATCGCACGCAAAACATATGTGCGGACGACGCCGACATAGCAATACCTATGTGTCACCAGCTTTTCGCAGGCGACACAAAAAGGAAATGGGTCCGGACGGGAGATATTGACTGGAGCAATGGATGGGGGTTCCGAACGACTCAGTGTGCCCTGTACCAACAATGTTTTGCATATAGAAATCAATTGGCCAAAGCATGGTATTTTTTCACGTTCGGATTCAGGCTCGTTCAACCAGACGCTTGATCACTTGTAATTCGGCGTGTAGCTTGCGCAGACAACAAGAGTCTAGTTGAACGAGACTAGCCGGAGTACTTTGGTAGTAGCTTAATTGTTTACGTCAAGACCACTTAAATAAAATAATACGTTTTTGTTTTGTCTTGGAAATCTTAGATGGAGATATTTATTTTAAAATATTATGTTTTCAACGTGGAACTACTTTTTGGTGAGGATCCATAAAAGATGGGAGGTTGCATGAAGTGGACTGGTTGGCAACGCCTTTGAATAGTTATAAGTAAAAAAACCGATAAAACTACCGTCAAGTGACTGCGGCAATCTTTGGGAAAGGAGACACTCTCTCTCTCACACACACACACACACACACAACCACACACTCACACACACACACACACACACACACACACACATATATATATAGATAAAACAAAACACGAAGACTATAATCGGCCAGCGCTTTTGCCCAACTTGCTGCTCTTCAGGCGAAAGAAAATCGAAAGCGTAAGCGCTAGCCGATTATAGTCTTCGTGTTTTGTTTTATTTATATTTTATCATCACATGGACATTTAAAACTATTTATCGCTATATATAAATATATATATTATAGAAAAAAATATTGATAGTCGTAACATCATTTACATCAACACTGACAACAAGGAATAGTATGTTATGGGCTTAAATTATCCTATTATGGATAATTAAGCCCAATTTAAGCCCTATATTATTTTCTATAATAAACAGTGAATATAAATATATATATATATATATAGCGATAAATAGTTGTTAAACATATATATATGTGTGTGTGTGTGTGGGTCAAAGAAGTAATTCAATTATAGTATATCAATTCTATCTTCTTGTAATATGATGTATATGTATATGTATACGGATCGTTCCGAAAATTTGACAACCTAAACTTGTCCACACTGTTGGAATTACTTCTTTGCCCCATATGTATGTGTGTGTATATACCATGCATCCTTAACTTAAAAAAGGGAAAGCATTTTATTTCTGTCGATGTTTTTGTATAGGTTATGCTTATTCGAAATGCTAATGTATTATGCACAGGAACATGGCATTTCAAATATATCTAATGATTAAGTAATTATGATTAATAAATAGCCGGTTGATTTTTATTTGATTACTAATTAAGTGTCCTGACAAAGAGACATTTCGAATAAAATTCACGAAACATTTGTTTAAGTTTGTCTTTATTTAAAATGGTGTTATTTACTTAGTAATTATGGTCGCATTCAATCTTACAATAACATTTTTTTAATTTTATTTTTGAGTATTTACAAAATGATAGCTATATTGTTTCTGTAAAGGACCGCTGTGAACCCATTAAATCCGGGTCTGGAGCCTCCGTTGTTTAGATCACGTACGCATGCATAGATTCTGATCAAAACACTTTTCTTTCACTCCATTTTAAGTTCTCAGTGACATTCTATATATAGATGAAGATTCAGCTTTCACTTAAAACCTGAAACTAAAACTTCAACTAGGCAATTTCTGTGACTTTATACAAATATTTTAAAATGTGTCTTTTTTATTCGTATACATCCGATTTAAGCGCATAACATACAATTCCTTTTGTAAATGTTGACGAAGTGATGCTACGACTATCAATATTTTTTCTGTAATAAACAGTGAATCTAACTATGCTTTTGAAATCCTGGTCAAAGTGAACGTTGGTCCGAGCACGAACGCACGCACCATACGGTTTGCTAATATAAACTTTATGTAGTTTATAACAATTATGAAACAAGTTTTTACAACTTATACAAATCACCTTGTTGGCCCGGATGTTAGCGCGTGGGGGTCCAAATTGGAGGAAACCGGAGTACTCGGGCAGGTGACCCCATACCTTACACGTCCGATCGGGGAATCGAACCCCGGCCGCCTTGGTGAAAGACCACCCTATGAAGCGCACCGTTTCAAAAACGAAACTCACTGTTCAGCTTTAACATTCATAAATAAATTCAATAAAGTTTCATTATCGAGCTGAGAATGTTGAGAGTTTACTTAAAACGTCTAATAATACTCCCTACACTTCGGGAGACGTACCAACGTACCAACTGTGTTCACGACGATCACAAAACCTAAGTCCGGGTGTATAATCTATGTGTTACTTTTCAGGCTGTTACTTTTAATAAGAGAGACAGACAGACAGACAGAAACAAACAGAGACAGGGACACAGAGAGGGAGACACAGACACACAGACAGACAGCGACACATAGAGAGAAGGAGACACAGACACAGAGAGACAGAAACACACAGAGAGACACACACACAGACACAGAGAGACAGAACCACACAGAGAGGGAGATACAGACACAGAGAGACAGAACCACACAGAGAGGGGGACACAGACACAGAGAGACAGAAACACACAGAGAGGGGGACACAGACACAGAGAGACAGAAACACACAGAGAGGGAGAAACAGACACAGAGAGACAGAACCACACAGAGAGGGGGACACAGACACACAGACAGCGACACATAGAGAGAAGGAGACACAGACACACAGACAGACAGCGACACACAGAGAGGGAGACACAGACACACAGACAGACAGCGACACATAGAGAGAAGGAGACACAGACACAGAGAGAGAAACACACAGAGAGGGAGACACAGACACAGAGAGACAGATACACACAGAGAGGGAGACACAGACACAGAGAGACAGAAACACACA